AGCAACAACTTTGCCACCGATTACCGTCGAACTCCGAGTTCAGACCGATTGAGGAATCAGTCTTTAACCTTGTGGAGTAAAGCAGCGTCCTCTGGATGGAGGAGGAGCCCTCGCCTCCAGCTGTCTCAGAGAGATCCGAAACACTGAGGAGGTGAAATCTGAGTTCCCCTAAGGTCACTTTTCTCTTACTGTCAGCACACTGCGAATTGGTATGACAGAAAGAGATGTGTGCACATGGCACTTTGCTGGTGGAATTTGTGCTGTATCAAAATCCCTTAGTCAGAAATCAACATCCCAGAATGTGTCAAACCACACTTACTAACAGTACACAAAGATTATAATCTTCCAAAGAACTTTACTTCCTAGTTCTTCCCAAAAACAAACAATTACTCAAGAAGCTGGATGGATGCCAGTGAATCATAGTCACCTGACATCATCTCTTAGCTGTTTATCATGTCAGTCACACATATCGACCTCTCCCAGTTGCCTCATAGCTCAACTGCTGCATCTGTAGGGTTCCACCAGCAAAAGTGTAATTCAGGTTACTGCAGATGTCCCAGACTGTTGCGAGAAGCTGTCTTCAAAGTATGATAGCTGTTTAAATCACTGATGAAACCAAAACAGAGGACCCCCAGATTCTAGTTTCTGCTGTCATAAATATTTGACATACTATTCCTACAAGCAAAAGAGAAAACTGAATGACGGTGTTAGGATATAACACAACCGTTTAAAACAGAAAGTCACACCTTCAGCATCAATATTACAATCGTTATGCTAATGAATTAATATACTGAAATTAAATTCATAATAGCACCTTCTGATACATGTATTTGTTAGATTGATTTTGAGAGATAGGCATGCATATGTGATGAATGAGATAATCTAGGAGAATGTTGGCGAAAAAATTTGGTTTAAAGTAAGAATTATAAGTTTAATATACTCACTAGAATGTATATATAAAAAAATTCAGTCAACATGATTCTTACATTTCTATTCCATTTCTAACTGTAAAAATATTTACTAAATCTAACAAAATAAAAAAAAAATTCAACTTTGTATTCAATTATTCACCAAAGCTACTGACACTAATTTAATATTAACATGAACACAATGTAAAAAAAAAAACACTTATGCAATAACTTTAGCTGTCAAAATAAATGTACATATTTTTAAATCCAAAACTATTAATATGATAACTGCATTTTAATGCTCTTCATATCAGAAAATTGCCATATTTGCAGTAGAAAGGAAGATATTCTCTAAAGACAGATCAGTGTAACCTGCTTTATTTATTGAAAACCTCTGTGTGGAAAACATGATATTAGCTGCAATCAGGCACACAGCTCCTGATTCTATAGCTCCCTGTTCTTTGTTGATGGTGTAGAAAACAAGGTCAAAAAAACAGTATCCAGTTGTGCTAATCCCAAAGGAGATCATGGATGTTTTTCCCTATCCTCTTACCCGGATTATCTGCAAAACAGGTTCGTTATCAATAACAAAAACAACAGAGGGACTTTAAGAAGAGAAGCCTGCCGTGAAAAGACTGAACATCAGTCTTCAGCGCGCTGAGGGACGACACCTGTTACTTTCTGATGTGTCATCTTACTGGGCAGCAGCCAGAGGGGCTGGAGCTGCTTTAAAGGCACAACACTGGGTATTGTGTGGGCAGGACAATTGCATACACTCATTTCACAGTTTCAATGACCAAACACAAAGACGGTACTCGCAGTACAATGAGAATGGATAAACAATGACTGAGTGGAGACAAACCAAGCACTGCTGAAGTGGTCTGCAACAGCTTGGTTCTCTCACTGCTTAACATGCAAAGATCGAATCAGCCCTTCAGTTACTGCAACAGATTGCAGTCAACCCATTTCTGTGATACACAAAACATTTCTCACCAAAGTAGAAGCGTATAAGGCAGCCGACTTCAGGATTCATCCCCTCCTCCTGCACCCTCCACTCGTCTTCGAACCCCAGATTGGTGAGGTACTGGTTGAGGATCTGCAGAGGCCGTTCATCATCCGCCAGCCGCCGCACGACTCCCCCATGCAGCTGGATGAAGAGGGTTGGGGTTGGACAGGCACTGAGGGGCTCGGGCCAGTCTCCGCCGCCCACAGGGATCTCCTGGTCAGGCCTGACAGATGGTTGGCTGGTGAGAGGCCGAGTCAGAGAGCTGCTGGAGCATTTGGAGGGAGCTTTGATTAATTCGGGGGTATCTACAGTGTCACTTTTAGTATCATCGTCCTGGTTATGGGCTTCTGAGGGCAGCTGGTCTGCTGCAGAATTGTCCGTCGAGTGTGTTGGGGAGGAGGTGAGCTCCAGCTCATCCGAGGAGCTCTCAAACGGGTCAGGTCCCTCTGTAGCACTGTCACAGTTGGGACTCGGCACTGAGGAGTCGACACCCACACCCAGGCTCTCACTGAGGGAGTCTTGGTGCTCTGTGCTCCTGGGGCCACCTGGGCTGAAGTCCTCACAGGTGCTGCTCTCCATATCCGAACCAGAGTATGCCCCAAAGCAGTCTGCAGCACTCTGGCTCAAATCAATGCCAATATCATTCAAGCAGATCTCAGATGAAGAGTTACTGTCAGTTTTGTCATCAATAAAAAAATTTGAGGGGATTTTAGATTCAGGGCAATTTTTTGTGTTTTCGTTCTCCTCCAATTTAGGAGTTTTCACATCCACGGTCTCCATATGTCCATTACTGTCTTTACAAAGATCATTTAGGTCAGAAGATACAGCAGCGGGTTTGAAGTTTATTCTCAGGACAGCCCCAGACTTACTCCCCTCCAGCTTAATGGCCACCTCTTTCGCTGTGGTGTCCACGGTGCAGAGCACTGGGCGCGGAATGGAGGGCGTGAGCCAGTCGTGGACGTGGATACAGCCTCGCCGGAGGTCCGATCTCACCCATGACTTGTCAGAGGCCTGGAGCTGTTTCGACTGCTTCTGCCGGAGGAAAGTCTTCCTGTCCAGGCTGAGGGTGCTCAGCGGAGAGGCTGAGGGAGCGGGGTTGGGTGCCTCGACTGAGGACGCCCCAGGCGGAGCCCCCAGAGACAAATTCCTCTTGTGTCTGTGTCGCCGCCTGTTCAGCAGCGAGTTTACCGAAGTGCTGCTGTTCACCGACGTCAAGCTGTACATGTTGGCGGCTTTCACGACGGGAATATTGCTACCCTTTCCCGTAGCGTTGGCAACTTGGTTCTGGTAGATCCCGTTTCTTATCGCAATCTGCAGAAGGGAGGTGGCTGCAAGTCCCTTCCCAAAGAGTTTTGCTTCGGCGCCCCCACCCTCATCCTCCACGATGGAGGGTCTCTTTCCAGGGGGGAGAGAAGATAATCCGCTCGGCTTTACGAAGTCCCCGCCATACTCTAGTGTCCCCTGTAGTGCTGGTGAAGCCGAAAGCGTTCCAGAGTCGTTATCCTTCCCACTTTCCATTCTGTTAGCAAACCACAGCAGTGGCAGACGAACAGCCCGCAGGTGAACGCTAGTGTGGGTTAGCTTCCAGCAGCTGGCTCGGTCTACTTACTGGCTTTGCGTTAGCTTAGCATGCTAAGGTAATGCGTAGTTGTTCCAGAGAGTTATCCTGCTACATCATCCCATTTCATCAGGCGGCCGTTAGCTCTCTAACCGGAGCTAACGGACTGGCGCGGAGAGGAAAACTGGTCTCTAGATGTTTGACATTAGAGCTACAGCAACGAAAAGAAGCAGCAGTTACTGATAGAACCCGGGAGATTGACGGTCAGCGGCTGAGCGTGGACAGGGCGGGGTCTCATTGGATATGAATTATGACGCATTCAAGTACGACCATAAGGCTCGGGAATTTCACACACACACATAGGCACATGACCCCGTACACTTTGGGAAGTACCTCAGAGTGTTTATGATAATTTTGTGAAACTACCAAGTTCCCCAACTTGTCAAGAAATTGCTCTTAGCATACAAACAAACTAAATGTAATTATAAAATATGTCGACCTCTTATATTTCACAGTATATCATAAAGTTAAAATTATGTTAAGTAATCAAATAATTGTACATCTCTTTATGTTGAAATAATATTCTGACAAATATATATATATATATATATATATATATATATATATATATATATATATATATATATATATATATATATATATATATGACTGACAACTGCAGTAACCATAATTCTTTGCCATTTCTTTACATAAGATCATAACACTAACTTTACGGAACTTTCCACTGAATTATTGATCTTTGCAACTGTAATAAGACAGTAATGGTACCATAGCTTGAAGTTACAGTGGTTTGTCAAATAATAATATGTAAAGTGATATGAAGAGGAAAAAAATATATTCGACAGAACCAGTACACAAACTTTAATTCACAGCCACGTTTATTAAGACACTTGTCCTTGTCTTTACAAAGTAGCATCATATTTTAACGCCATCTAGTGGAATAAATGTTGAATTATCACAGACATACTAGCAGTGCAATATAAGTGAAATAAATACTGTTTTATTGAAAAATTATCACACTAATTTTTTCTTTTTTCCCTTTTCTACCTAAATTATTGTAGGTTTTGTAACTTATACAGTAGAATTGTATAATATTTTATTGTTTTTAATTTTATATATTTAACACTGTTTTAATACTTTTAAGTATTTTTAACTATTATTATTATTATTATTATTTGTAGTAGTAATAGTAGTAACAGTAGTAGAAGTTTACAAAATATACTTATCACAGTTGTTAAAACATGTTAGTAGCCATTTAATATGACAAACTGGTTTAATTGTGTGACCTCCTCAATCATTTCGAAAGTATTTTGTTTTGAAATTTGTATGTAAATACAGTTTGACACACATTCATATAGTGAACACAAATTTTTAAGACTGCAAGTTCCAAAACGTCATGACATTGATAATTAAAATATGCTTTCACAAATTATAACACCATAAAAAGGCATGGATAGTTTGACAGTTCCTCTTCCACCCTAAATTGATCAAAAGTTGGTTGAGTGTCGTTTTTAAATTTCAATGTCTGTCACCCCAGACAACATAGAGATAAAACTGTTTAATCAGCTCCTGTTTGTTTTCAGAGAGGTGTTGCTGGATTGCTATGGGCGTCCACGCAGACGTGAGTGAACTGCTGTCACACTGCAGTCCAACAGAGGGCAAAGTGCAAGCAGAGCTGTCACAGTATACTTTATCAAGCTCTTCCTTCCTCCTCCCACCTACTCTCAAGTCTCCACCTCGTCTCTTTTTTAATACCATTCACTCAGACATCTTGCAGTGTTGTGCTGTGAATATAACACATTGTTTGTTGCAGCAAAGGTAAGCCTTTTTTGTTGTTGTTGTTTTCTGACAGGTTACAGAAAAGTTTGAACTAGTGTTGACCTGCTCTTTGTTCCATGAAGTTTGTCTTTCACCTGCATGTAAATGGCCACTGAAGGTTTAGAGCATGTGATGACTGGCAAATCTCACTGAAGAATGGTTCTACTGTAAATGCAAAGATTTATTTACTGAAACATTGAGGCAAAGAGTATACACAGATGTGTTTGCTGTGGGATTCAGATGTCTCTGGCTGAATGTTAAAGGACTTGGAAGGAGTGAAATCCCTGCCAGTAGGAGTGCTATAATTCAGCTGATCAACATAACATAACCTTAATGTAATTTCTGAAATGAATTCTATTTTGATCACTTAGGAAGACTGGAGGATAATTTGGAAACCCTTAAAAAGTACTTGAGGAAATGAAAAGCGTTTGACTAAAATAGAATGATAATTTGCAGTCATAAGATGCTGCTGTTAATTTCATTTCTGTTTTTTTTTTATTTTTTATGTACTTTCAGTTTCAAATTATCTCTTCGTTTAGGTAACAATCAAACTCTGCATCCACCAAAGCAATAGTGTTCTTTTGTAAGATCGTAAGTCAAACACAAAATAAACATAGGTGGGTGATCCACTTGGGAATTCCATTCTATAAAAATGGGAAATAGAAACTGTAATTATATGTGGCCCACTTAGTACTCAAGGACTTTTCAGGGTAGCATGAACGTAGTTGAGACACACACTTCTTGTTTTGGTTTTTCAGGCGGAGCACTGACAAATTTAGATGTGCAGCAGTAAAAAATGTTGGAAAAACATCCCAGAAATACATCATTGCAGAGAAGTCACTCATTAAGATTGTTTGCCCAGCCCTGTTAGCTGCTACTGCATGGATTCTCTAGAAAGAAGGGATGCAGCAGAGAATGGGAAATGAGGAAACAGACCAGGTCTGAAGAGTCACGTTTTTCACACAAAGAATTAAAATTTAAAGCCACAGATTTGGGAGGAAAAGCACGACAAGGGTGGAAATTCCCCAAATGCTTTGAAACAGAGGCTGTCTTGATTATTTTCTTGTAGTCATTCATCAAATCATTTTTCACTTTTTTTGTGTTCCCTTCAAATTATTTAGTAGGCTGCCTCATACTTATTGGTGTTTGCATTGCTGTTATTTTGTGATAGCATGTTTCTGAATGTGAATTCACTTTATTTGTTCTTAAAGTGTGCTATCTAATCCCCACTGAATTAGGAGGAATTTCTCAAAAATCTTTCCGAAAATGTGAATTGTTTGACACGTTTTGTAGACATGACATGGACATTTTCCCATTGTGCAGTTTTAATTCTTACGATAAGACAGAGCTGGAGGTTATTGTTGTGTGCAGCTGGTGAAAAGGGTTGCATCACTGTTTACTCTGCTGTGGTCACAAGGCTTGGGTGAACACGAGTTTAAGCACGGCTCTTTGTGTTTTCCTTGCAGCCCAGCTGTGTGTCAAACTCACTCCCAAACCAGATCTTTTTTTTGTTTTTGTTTTTTTTTTCCAAATACTGACATGTAGCTCAGTGGATGGGTTACTCAGGAATGAGGGAGGAAATTGCACTCCTTAGAATGCGTTTTTATTCTCATAAAACAATTTGAAAATAACGCTTGGAATATTAAGAAAGACAAAACTGATGCCAGATTGTAGGCCCTTCTGTTAAACACAGTCAGAGTGCATGTGTTGATCATTTCAGAATGGGTTAATAGTCATGTCTACTTTATAAAATTTAAATATACAAGCACAGAAACACTTGTACAGATTGAGAATACATCAGTTTTGCAATTCTATAGATTTCTGATCAGTTGAACAATGTCCTGCTGTCAGCTGTTACATTTCTGTATGCCATTATTCATCATTTTCAGTTTGAGAGCAATTTAAATTTTTTGCAAACAGCATCAATGCTTAGTGATTTTACAGGTTTTCTTCTGTTGTTCTATGCATGTCAAATACAAAATAGATGAAATTAGCTGTAGTAAGATGGAAAAGTAAACACTGTAAAACAGTTTAAAAAGACAGCTGGTGAGGCTGAGTAAAATTAGACACAAAATCTGTAGTTTCTAAAGAAGTTGTGTTGCTGTTACTGAAAATAAAGTAGATTTCTTAAGACAAAATTTATTTTCTTTGTCTCTGTTAACTGTTTTAAATTTGTAATCTGCTGAGTAGTAAGTTCATGAACTCTCATTTTTTGCTCGTGATTTTTTTCAAGTCTCAATGTCAGGGAGAGTTTAAGGTGACTAAGCATTTGCTCGGTCATGACCCTACTTTGTGAAGCAACATGTTCAAAAAAGGAGTGCATAAAACTGATGAAATCATAAATTTGTTGAGTAAAATCCCAATTTGAGTAAAAATTCATGTGGTCATGAACTCGGGTTCATGACCACATGAACACGAGTTCATGTGGTCATGAACATGTGGTCACAGCTTCAAAATCTCACTTCCCCAAAGTTTTAATAACTTTCTTTTTATATATGTCCTGCATCACTTTCCGAATGTTTTCAGAGGCCAATGTAACTAAAAGCTGTCATGGAAGAACTACGACAAATTGATCTGACATACATCACAGAGTGCATCATCAGCATCATCTGCCCTTCTACGTGTCCAGAGGATCTCTACCTGCAGAATCTGAGGAAGATTATCCCTATGCTAGAGTCTAAGCATGGGCACAACTATATGGTGAGAAAATATTTTTTAACAGCTGTTTTCTTTTCATGATTCTTTTCACTCATGTATAAATCCAAAGAACTACTCTGAAGGTCTTTCGTAAGGACAATAGCTATTAACATTAACGTAGACTACATTAAAAGATTTTTTAAAAATGCTACTTTTTATAAGCAAATTATAAATAGAAACAGTTAATCCCCTAACTAATCGTAATTAATTGGGGAAAATCTACAATTTTTGAAAAGCCAATTCAATTTCACTCATAGTAGAAGGGTATAAAAGAGGATCAGTAGAATTAAGAAATTGTTTAAATATACCTCTTACCTGCAAGATTAAACAGAAATGAATAGAACTAATCTGTTTAATCTGATTATGATAATTATGCTAATAATTGTCATTATTAACATAATTTTAATTATGTTAGTTAGCTTCATAAATAACATAATTATCTATGTTAATTCTGATGATTTTCCACTTACAGGTAATGAAAATATGACATTTAAAATTAGAATAAAAACAATATTTTTAAAAGACAAAATGTGAACTTCTTAAGGGTTATTATTTTCCATCTAGCAAACGGCCCTCATCTGAGTGCTTATTCTGATTTATTGAATACGACTGTAATTTCTGAACGTTCGCTTTTCTGTTCTAATACAGCTCATTAACCTTTCCCAGAAGCATGACATTCTTACAAAAACGACCCACAAGGTAATTAAGCACTCATAGGTATCTGGCTTCAAGGTTTCAGTTCTGTGTGAATGTGACACAGCCTTTTCGGTTTCCTGTCAGATTTTCAACACAGGTTGGCTGGATCTCTTAGCTCCCAGTTTGGATCAAATCTTTAATGTGTGCACAGCAATGGAGAACTGGCTACAAGGTTATCCAAAACACGTCCTGGTGTTACACTGCAGGGTAAGCATGGGGGTGGGGGGGCACTGCCCACTCACAGTAACATTAAATTGTGTTTGAGGTGATCTGTGTGGCACATGGGGGGACATAATATTTACACTTAAATCTGTGTACGTCTTCAACAGGGAGATATGGGAAAGCTTGGAGTTCTCTTGGCATCATACATCCACTTCAGCAACATGTCTGCCAGGTAACACGTTTAAGAACTGATTTCTCTTCAAATAGAGTTGAACTGCAGTACATCAGTGAATAAACTTTTGAAGACACTATGAAACAAGCCTGTTCTTCACCCTTTACATCAAACTAAGCCTGCACCATCACACTATGCAGCCAGAAGATGGATGGTCTTTGGAGGGCCTTGGAGACATTTTTGACATCTAATATGCATTAACGATGGAGTGCACTTTAAGTTACACGTAACAAGATTACCCCGTCCTGTTTGAGAGTCCGTAAATCTTCCATGTTGAAAGCATGTTGGTTTATTATCATTGTTGGAGCATAAGTGGAATACTGTGTAGGTGAACTTCCTGGCTGCAATGGGAACTAATCAATGAAGTGTCGCCTGCATAGACTGGCTTGGCTTTGTTATCAGAGAATTTCAACCTGGCTACAATGCGATTAAACAACCACTGGTCTTTAGTGACCATCCGATTTATTGTAAGGCTCTTTTGTGCTGCATAGAGCCTTACAATAAAAGCTGCTACATCCATCAGGTTGCACCACTCCTCTAAACAAGAAATTGAAACAAACTATTCAAGCTCTGAAAGGCAGTGGATACAGTACAATGATCAGATCCTGTACAAAGGAATCAGACTTTGCTGTGCTACCTTGTGAACTGGGGCTTGTAGCCTGAGAGTTGGATATGTCTCCAAATTGTGCATGTGGGTTGTTTTTGTGGAGTAGATATAAGAAGTGTTCTACGAGAACACTTTAGATTACATGTTTTTTTTAGTTTTTAACCATGTAATGTTCTGAGAAATTACAGAACTTGAGAGAATTTTAAGGTTGCTATTTTAAAGTTTTGTTTCCTGTTGAAAAGATCTAAATAGACATTTTCAGCCTGAGGCACTGAACGTTGTTTGATTTTGTCAAATCTTGAAGAGCTTTTCTGGGTGGTTGTTAAGATCAAAGAGCAATTGACACAACAAAACACAGAGGCTGAGCTCTTGACAAGCCAAAGGACAGCTTGGATGATTAAAGAGACTTTAAACTCAGAGTTGTTTGATTTTTAGCCAAATATCCTGTTGTTGTGCATGCAGGCAAGTCACACTGGTGCAAAAAATATAGCTTTTACAGAGCACATCTTCTATTTTTAACAAGGAAGTCATATTAGAAATATTAGTTTAGGTTGTGTTAATCTTCAGATGTCAGAAAAGTTCAGCTAGATTCTAATCAAATTCCTGCTCTCGGCACGTGTGCGTTGACATGCTGATCATGGCTGAACGGTTGGGAAATATCTGATTGTGACCATTGTCCCTGTGTGCACGATCCATGAGCTTGTGATTGCAGACATGCTACGACTTGTGAAAGACGCCTGGTTTCTGCAGGTAGCAGAGCCTAAAATACATAAATAATTTTGTGAGAAAAAGACAGTCAAGAGAGTAAAGGCATTCAGTTACTTTATGTGCAAATCAAATCGGGTAGGTCTAAGCAGTTTCTGAGACAGAAATCTCTGCAGGATACCAAAATGTTTCAAGCCATTTGCAGCTCAGCTAGTAGCTGCAACTTTATCTGAACATGTGCATTTCTCTCAGTGCAGACCTCTCTCTGGACCACTTTGCCATGAGGAAATTCTACAACGACAAGCTATCTGCTCTGATGATCCCCTCACAGAAACGGTAACAGCCCCCTGGCCAAGAAAGTCAAATGACTCGCATTCAGCCTTCATCTGTCATGATCTGACTTATTCCTAGATTGTCATTAAGTGGTATTTTTATCGGTACGCTTCCCAGAAACATACTCGCTGTGTCTTCTCAGGTATGTTTGGATGGTGGGCAGCATGTTGAAAGGAGGACTGAGGATGAACCCATCTCCGTCTTTTCTGCTCTGTGTAGTTCTTTATGGTCTTCCCAAAACAAGACCAGATGAAGGTAAGTGTCAAAAGAAAAATGGCAGCTACATATTTGTAAAGGGGCTTTGCAAATTGGAGTTGGCACACTTAGAACAGCACATTCAACACATCTGAAACAGTTCCACAGGGAGTGGTGAGTGGTGGCATGAGAGAGAGGTTCACAGGTCGTACCACGTTCATTTGAAACAAAACAGGTGAAGATTGTCAGACAGAAGACACCTCATAGTCAGCTTAAACAGCATCACCTGCACTTCACTTAGTTTGATGAGAATCTCACTTTGAGAGTTTCAAACATGGTTTTCTGGGTGTTTTGCCATCTTGTGCTCTTGCTGTTTTCCTGAATTTTTAAGAATAAAAGGCGCAAAAAGGCGTTTTGTACCATGGGAAATTTCATGCTGAGTCATATTTGCATCGTGTACTGCACTGCGTCTTCATACAGTTTTATAAAACGTCTCTTAAAAACTGCCTTTATGACTAATGATTTGAAGTAATTTTCTATGATTTACTCATAATCAGTCACTAGGTAGCTAGATTATATTACTCAAATAAACTGTGTTATTTTGGTTTGATCAATGAGCCTAATGTCATCTCATTTGATTTCCAAATGAAATGCAGAAATAAGTCCATATTTTTATCACAGAGCAATGATCCAACTAACTTTCTTCTTATCCCATTAAGGTGTCTGAAAGTTGTGGCCCATATTCTGGACACAGATGTACAAACATATTATTGTTATTGTTTCACTAACTCAATTCAAGTAAAACACAATACATGGATCAGTTTCACACAGGCTGATGTTTTCTATCCTTCATTTCGTTAGCTAAGATGACTTTATGCTTGCAGCTAATAAAGACTGTTGTGTATTCTTTTAAATCCCACAGGATGCTACCTTTTCCTTAGAGTCTACCAAAGTCTGCAAGCAGTTTGCACATCTCCAGTCTAGTAAGGCTCATCATTTAGACGCTCTAAACACAAAAGATAGAGGACAGTGACTAATATGTGTTTGCCTTCACTTCAGTCACGTTAATGCTGCTCAGACGGATCGGCTGTACATTGTGCTTCAGCCAGCTCAACTCCTCAAAGGGGACATCATGGTGAGAAAGTCATACTACTTCTCTATGTGTTTGTTTTCCGCATAACACATTTATTTCACCTTCTAGTTGGCAAAATAACATGGATAGAGTTCATGTTATTTGACCATCAAGTCAATTACAATAAGACACTTCTACCCATTTAGGATGATTCTTTTGTAGTTTTTCAACAAAAGTCATCAGATTTCCTTCAAACAGACATTGGGAAGCAATTGGGGTGAACTGAATTAGGTGGAACAGTAAACAGGATGCGTTGTCACTCAAATTTTCCTCATTTTTAGGTGGTGTGTTATGAAAAAAACCTTCAATCAGAGAGTCGCCAAGTCGTTTTCCGCCTCCAGTTTCACATGGGCCTGGTGTTCGGACACTCCCTCTCTTTCTGCAAGGCGGACCTTGACTGTGCTGCTGAAGGTATTTATAACCTGCTTTGTTCCAGCTCCGCTCAGGGGCTCTGTCAGGCTTTAATCTGTAACTGATAAAACTGTTGGCTCTCCGCACACCTGAACTAACGCTGGCACCTCGAAGGGCAAATGGAAACACATGCAGCTGTCTCATTTTGGCTCTCGATATTCCAGATTCCCGTTTCCCAGATGATGGAAAAGTGGAGCTGCTGTTCTCAGAAAGCCCAGAAAAGATCGCAGGTAGAATTACTCTGCCGAACATTCATGTTGTGGGAGGAAAATAAGCTTTTAATGTGTTTTATCAGAATGCATGGCAGGTTGACTCATTTTTAAAATGTTTTTCTCTGCAAATTTAGAAAAAAAACAACAACAAAAAAAAAAAAACATTTCATTGCATTGATATTGGTCTCCAGAGACATAAAAATCTTTTTTTTAATTTATTTTTTAACAGATATTTTTACTTAGTAAAAAGACATCTTGGAGGATTTACAAACTCTTTACCAAGTCTCTGCAAGCAAACACTTAATTTCCCTGATTGAATGTTATGCCATCCTGAATGCACCACATTCATGATAGTTAGTTTTTTTGTTTTTTTTTTGTTTTTGTTTTTGCAAAAATATAAAGTGTAAAACAATGACCTCATAGGCTGAAACACTTCTAGAATTGGGTAGATAGCTACATTTGTAAGGGATATGTAAGCTTTGTTGCACCTCTTTTGGTACTGGTATCAGTATCATAATTGATCAGCAGTTCAGCAAAATAATTTGACTGATTTGCTTTTCTAAACAATCTTAACACCCAATTCATTGTCAGAATGTGCAAGAGCTAAATTCCACTCCTGAGCAAAGCAAGCACATAAAATGTTCACCACTCAGTGTTCTCAAATAAATCAACTTTAAATAAATCAGTAAAAAAATGTAATGGAGCTCAAAACAGTCCTTTTAGTACATGTAAGGTTCCTACTTCATCAACTGTAATAAAAATGACTCTTGCTTTAATAGACAGTTTAGTAAAGTCTGTAAACGCAGGGCGGGGTCATATGGGACAGAAAAGCAAAGAGACTACACATAACGTAGTTATTGGCAAGAATATTTATGTCAATGGTTGCTTTGTCCTCAAAAGAAACAGGGTAGTAAAATATTAGGAGCACTTTCTTTTCGCAAAATTGTGCAACAAACAAACAAAAGAAGACATGAAAGAATAACAAAGAGCACAGGGATGGCTCTGTCTCCGATTCCATTCAGGAAAAGACGCAGCTAAACACAAACTCGGTTGGTCAAGTGTACCTTCTACAGGAGAAAAAAAAATGGAGCATGGCAAGTTAATGTCTTACTGCACCCTAAGGTTATAACAACACAACTATGATACCTTAGGATAATTTTAGCGGAAATTTGTCATGTCTATGATGTAGTTTCACTTAAAAATAAGCACCACATGATAAATAAGATAAAGACTTAAATTAACTATTAGTCTAACATTTTTGACCCCTCATATCTGTCAAGTAACTTTTAAAAAGGAGGATAATCATTAATTGTCATTTGTGAAAGAAAACGTTGTGCGTCCAGGAGGGGGCAGTGTTGGACAGCACGCTAAAAAAATAAAAATAAAAAAAAAAAATTAAAAAAAATCGTCCCGCTCAGTAGTAGCAACCAGGCTCTTCATTACTCAACAGGAAGCAATGTGAGATTTATCGGACACGCATATCAGTGAGGAATTTAAATCAGTAGATACTAACACAGGAGGAAAAACAAAGACAAACAAAATGGGAGGATATCAAAATGTAACATCTCATGTTTTGATTTTTATGAGGAATCGAACGAGGGGATGAGTTTTATTCCCTGAGTGACTGGTGTTTGTTATTTTTTATGTCTAGGTAGAGAGCAGTGGTTGAATGGGCGCTGTGTGACGGTGGACTATGACACGATGGAGCCATTAGTCAGACGAGATTCTTTCCAGGACTCGCCTCACCATGAAAGAAGTAAAGTGTACCTTTTATTCTTATTTGTCCTCCCCTGATTTGTCATTTTGTCTGGATTAGGATGGAATCCGCTAATATTGTGTTATGCGAGGGGAAAATGTGATAACATGGAAATCACACTGCTGTGACTTATTAAAAACAACAAAAAACAATATAAAACAAATAGACATTATGAAAGTAGAGAAACATGTCACTGTATAAAACTAAAATAAAACTAGACTGTATCAACAACAACAAAGGTATTTTATATGTACATATAACAATTATTTCATTAAATGAGACAAAAAGAGCAACATGTTTGACAAAATTATCTCCTCAGCTGTGCTTGTTTTCTACATTGTTCATGATTTGTTGGACATAATTTTAATAACTGCTTAGTTCCATATATTTACTACTTAAAAATGTCACAGACTTTTTGCATTCGGTTTACATTTATTAATGTTTTCATATTTTTTCTAGTTTATACTTATTTTTTGCTTTTACTTCTATCTTGATAAATCTCAAAGAAATATGGGCCAACAATGTCCAACAGGTCTTGAAATCTGGGCCAATTTGCACACAATTCTATTTTTGATTAGATTCCCTCTTTTTTCAGTATCGTTTAAAAAGACAGGTGTATATGTCTAAGAAATAATTTGTTGATGAAAGAGAGTCATTCTCTGGTGGAGTACAAACTGGATCGAAAGAGGAGGGATTTCAACACTTTCACACAATTTATTTCAAAAGAGACAATCAAATTTCCAGCTTTCTTTGGATTGCTTTGCTGTGGTTTCTTTCTTGGCCACCTACAAAATATCTCATAATTGTAGACGATTAGTGATAAAGACTTTCCTCTTAACGTTTCTGGGAATTCTCGTGAAAGCAACCGAGACAGCGAACAGACTGGAAGCTGCAGATTTTTTTTTCCCCAAGAATTTTCCAGCTCCTCGGAATAAAAACACCAACACAAAATCACAAAATCCCACAGCAGACAGCTGAAACAATGGCTTTAAGCTGTGGCTGAGGTTTCAGCTCCAGCTGTTTTATGCCATGGCTAAATCTGCCCCCGCCAGCCGTGTAATTTAGATTTAAAGACTTGTGAAAAAGTGGCACGTAAACACGGAAAACACACATAGGACTGCAAACAGGAATGTGGAACTCAGCTGCTCCTGCGACTGTTGTTTTGGAGCTCAGGTTGTTCTACTTGAACGTCTAACATTTCTCTCCTGTGCTGCTTCTATCACTCCATCCCCTCATCTGCCTTCCCTTTCTATCCGCACTGCTCTCAGGTTCAAGTTGCAGGTTGCAATTTGTCCAGTAAATTCCCTTCCCCCTTCTCCCCCGGAGTCCGCCTCCATGTTTACATTCTCCTCACCAAATATGGGCAGCTCAAGGTCCTTTTGGAGTGTTTTTTTCTTTCTTGAAAGTGCATTATGTGTATAGCACACACTTCCACCTATGCATGCGTGCATGTGTGTGTGTGTGTGTGTTTATGTGAGGCTAGTGAATGATCCACCCTTTAGTTTCCTTCCTTTCCTGAGATGAAAACGCATGAGTGCACCCTCAGCTACCTGTGTTGGCTGGGACAGGATGCAGGGGGGTGGAGGGGAGGGACAGAAACAGAGAAAAAAATAACTAAAGGGTTGAAGGCGGGGATTTGAAGTGCAGCAACATGAGAGAGGGAAAGGAGAGAGTAGAGGAGGAGGCACACCAGAGAGCTGTTAGCACCTTAGGAGAAAGAATGTACTTCACATGTCGTCCTGCTGCCGAGAAGACGGAAAAACAGGAGCAGAATCAGGAGCTGCTCTGAAACTTTTCAGTCTGCTTTCACTGTCATCCTTCTCTTTCCTTTTCTGCCTGTCATCCGTTTCGCCTCCTCTTTCCCTGAGTCCGGAGGGAGGCTTCGGCAAATTATTTCCATCCTGTTTCCAGTCAGCAGAGCGGACAGTGAAAGTTTCCTGCTGGCTGTGGGTAACGTAAGCTTTCTTACTTTTATTTCTGTTTGGGCTGATTGAAGCTTTGCTCTTTTGGATCTCTGTTTGTCAGTTTGTGAACATCAGTGTGTGAAAAAGCTCTTAGAACCACTGGGAAGTTTTTACCATGCATCTCTGGCACTTCAGTTTTATTGCCTCTCTGCACTCAAGAGGCTGTACTTACACAGCTGTGGCATTCACTGCGTGTTATCCAGTAGTTACTGTACATTGTTTTTCACTTTATCAAAATTAAACCAGCGTAACATGGAACATATCTTATATTTAAGTGGCTTATTTCTGCCCACTTCTATATAATTTAGGGGGTTGACCACAAATTAAAAGACACTAAACAACTGAACAAGCTTAATATATATATATTAATATATATATATAT